TAGTCTTTGTACTGTAAAAACAGATAAAAATGCATTATTTTAGTGTAGAAAAGTTGAAATTCTAAGTGTGAAAAATACTTTCTAAGTTAGAATTTAGTAAAGATAATCTTTTATGATTTTAGCCTGAGTGTTTTTTACAGCTAATACTTGTATTTGACTTTATATTTGTGAATGAGACAACTCAATATTATTTCCATCTTACTAAAGTTCTGAGGTTAAATGATAAAAAAAAAGTCATACAACTTTATAGCCACAAAACTGGCATTAACCATCAGCAGTAAATCCCCAAATGGTTACGTAAACATGTTATTGCCATCATGCAGAAATGTCCAGTACTGATCCAAATTCCATGAACCTTATGCCACCCATAGTCATTCTTGTTTCAAAATTCAATATTTTGATTCTGGGATTTTAGGGCAGAAGTAAACAAGAAATTAGTTTTAAAATATATAGGCAGTCCCCAATGTATGACCAGATTATGTTCCAAATTCAGTGCTTTTTCTTTGTTTTACTGATGCTTTTTATACACACACCCACACACCCACACCCACACCTCCTAATAGTATAACTTTCCACAAATTCCCCTTCTTCCCTTCACTGTAGAGGTTTCCCTAGTGACAAATAAGTATAATTCAACAAAGCTAATCAGCACGTTGGCCATATCTGAAAAGATCTTTATTTTCCATTTCTGGTCTATGACTTACAAGCCAAGGTGTGGAAAGGAGTACTTTAGGTCTTTTGAAGTCAGGTTTTTATGAAAGATACAAAATCTTTCAGCGTTGTTTTTCCTTTACTTTATTGTGGCCACTGTTAGAAGGATGTTGTTAGGTGACACAGTACGTAGAGTGCTGGACCTAGAGTTCAAATCCAACCTCAGACCCTTACTATCTATGTGACCCTGGCAAAGTCACAATCTCCTTCAGCCGCAGTTTCCTTATCTGTGAAATAGAGATAATAAGAGCACCTACCTCCCGGGATTGTTGTGAGGATGAAATACAATAATATTTTTTTTAAATAAGATAATATTTGTAAAGCGCTTTGCAGATCTTAAATTGCTATATAAATGCTAGCTATCATATTATCATTATTATCATTAAATTGTTCTGCTTACTAAGTTTACACAGATACTTCCAAGTTTCTCTGAAATTTTCACAGTGGTATTTTCCTAAGGTACAGAATTATTCTGCCACATTTGTTCAACCATTCCCCAGTCGAAGGGAACCCATTTTGTTTCCTGTTCTTGGAAACAGGGGGGACTGTTTCAGCAGCGTGACTCTTTCTACTGCGATGTGCTACCTGTTTTAAAGATTTCCAGCTTGGTAGGACCAACAGACCCCTGCTGGTGTAACCTTCAAGAAACCATTCTGGCCACCATGCCACAGTGAAGTATCAGACACGGACTTTTGTGGAGGTTCTACTTTGGTGGAACTGTAGAAAGGCTAAGACTAAGTTATGATTCATGCTTACAATGAGTTGGAGATATAGGATGGTAAATTCTTTCCTCGTTGAAGACTGAAAAACTTTAATATTATTTAAATTACATCTTTTTTTGAGTAATTAGAAGAAGTTAGAATTAGTTTTTTTTAATTAACCAAAATCTGTCTTCTCTCTTTCTACCCCCGCTCCATGGAAAAGAAAAAGAAAAAACCTTTGTAAAAGAAACAAAACATGTTCCTGCATTGTCTGTGTTCAAAAAATATTTTTCTCATTCTGCACCCTTAGGATGTCACCTTTCTGTCATGAGATGGCTAGCATGTTTTGCCCTGGAATCATGGTTGGTCATTCAGTTAATCAGAGTTCTTAACTCTTTCAAAGTTGTTTGTTTTGATAATGCTGTTATTGTATAACTTGTCCAAGTTCTATTCATTTCACACTGCATCAGCCCATACAAGTTTTCCTTCTAAAATTTCTCCTTTTTCATTTCTTACAGCATGGTAGCATTGCACTATATTCATATAACATAATTTGTTCAGCCATTCTCCAGTTGACAGGCACCCCTCAGTTTCCAGTTCTTTGCTACTACAAAAAGGGCTCCTGTAAATGTTTTTGTGTCCATGGGTTCTTTTCCTTGTTCTTTGATCTCTTTGAGGAATAGTCCTAGTGGTGGTAACTGATTCAAACAGTTTGGTAACTTTTGACCACATAGTTGAATTGAAATTTTTGATAATTCAGACTACCCTGAAATTTATACTTGCTTAAGAAATCAGTGTATGCACAATTTAATAACTTGACCTCATTAAATTGTCAGTAGCTGAATTGGAATTTTTGACAATTCAGACTAGCCTGAAATTTACACTAACTTAGAAAATCTTTTCTTTATGTGTTGAACAAATTAATGGTGCAAGCAATATTATAAGGGGAACACAAAATATTTAAGGGAACAAAGGCTATCAGATATCCTCAAGCACATCAGAAGCATCTATGTAAATTAATATACTATTTTGACTTCATTTTTAATGATCATTGTAAAAAAATTGTTGGCTTAATATGGATTACAATAAATGCTTGAAAATAACAAAATTGCTTTTGTAGTGTTGTGTAATTGAGAATTTTCTCTTAATTCAAACTAGGCTTCCAAATTAATTTCCATGTACATACAAACATATATGTACATACTTTTGGTATATTGGTAGATCCATGGTTGGTGTTATATATTTCATGTATATATGCATATATGTAAATATCTAATTATATACACATGTGCATTCTTCCTTCAGCTAATTCTTCCACTCTATTCTTTTTTTATTCTCTCCAGAAAGAGGGCAAGTCTTCCTTTTCCCAGTATAGGGCTTGGTTTTGTACCTTTATCTTTGTTCATACTAATCCTTCTTTCTGGAAGTAACTAACCTATCCTGATCACTCCTTTTCTCCATTTTCTGTCAGCATTTAATACAATGAAAACCCTTGTGGGTAAGTCTCTGTTATCAGAGTTTATTACTACCTTTTAAATTCAGTTTTATTTATTTTCAGTTCTGAATTCTCTCCCTCTAACTTCCTCCTCCCCCTTACCTGTGGAGGAGGCAAGAAAAGCAAAACCTATTAGAAATATGTATAGTCATGCAAAACAAATTCCCCCCAACATAGTACCTTTAAAAACTCAGTAACAAACTCCTTACTCCCTCCCTCTGTCCCTGAAGTTCATTAGAGACACTGGTTTATCAGCTACTCACCTGTGCCAGAAAAATAGAAAGTCAGAATCTTGGCAAATCATTCTTGAAAGGCTATTAGTCCCTTTAGAGCATTATGATATACTTAAGTTTTAATCATGTATTTTTTCTATTTAACTTACTTCTATCAAGGTAAAGGACCCTGATAAGTGTTTTGTGACTACCCTCCTTTCAGTAATGAGTAGAGTGATATTTTGTGTATGACAATAGACATTCACTATATATTTGTTGAATAATTTGTTGAAAGACTAAAATAATAATTGAAAAGCCCATTTCAAGTGCCTAGATTACTTTTGGCAGAGTTTTACCTGTGCAAAAAAATGCGGATCAGTGAGACCATAAAATAGATCTCAAAAAAAGCACAAATAAAAGCAGAAGGAAAAATTAAGAGGGAAATGTACACAAGGGTGATGCCATAAATAGGACTGTGTAGAGACTACAAAGAATTTAGAAAACTTCCTCTCAAAAAGTCAGCTAGCTGAAAAGAAACAGAGAAAAGCATATACCAAACCCCCAGTGAATGAATGGCATCAGCAAAAAAAAAAAATGCTGTATGTGACATCCTCTGGACACAAAATATCACATATTGACCAAGAAGACATTCCACATGTTTTTTGGGATGAAGTAGCAATAGCAGTTAAATGTTTACAAATTTTTTAAAACCCATGGAATGATGGAAATTGATCCAGTTACATTAAGGCAGGTGGAAATATATTGCACAAGACACTTGTAAAGTTCCTATATAATCATTGAGTATATGATCACAGAGATTGATCAGTCAGTCCAGCTCCCTACTTTTATAGATAAGGAAACTAAAGCTGTGAGATGTTGTGAGTTCCCTTGCTGGTGCTTATTCCACATTTTCTGATATGTCCATTTGAGACCTTTCAGACATGAAAAGCATAAAAAAAAACCCTGCCCTACTTTTGTTGAAAAAAACAAATCCTGGAACAATTTTCATGCTATCAGTCTTCTTTCACAAATCTTAAAACTCTTCACAAGAATTACACTTGTTTACATTGAGAGTATTTTAGAGGACCAGCGAGTGCTTGTTCACATACATGTAGTCCAGCATGTATACTTCCTTTTTAATGCTGTCTCTATCTTGTGACTATAAAAAGTTATTCAACTTAGTGGAACAGCAGTAGTGTACTGTAGTAGAATAAATTAAGCATAGGTTGAAATCTAATGGGATAATGTCTGGTAGAAATTCAGAAACATGAGGGGCAGCTAGGTGGTGCAGTGGATAGAGAACTGGCCTTGGATTCAGGAAGACCTGAGTTCAAATCCACCCTCAGACACATAACGCTTACTAGCTGTGTGATCCCGGGCAAGTCACTTAACCCTATTGCCTAGCCAAATTAAAAAAAAAAAATTCAGAAACATGATTTTCATATGCTTATAAGGTAAATCCGTCTCACACTAATGCATTTGCAACTACTTCCTTTTCCAGTGGCTAGAAAGTAGATACACTGTGGGATAAGTTGAATCTATTACAAGTGCATAGTGTGTCATGTGGCTGTAAGCTGATTTAAAGCCAAATTTTCAGGGGGAAAGCATTTTTGTATTTTACTGTATGCCAGATAGTCTTTCTCATGACTATAGGCTTGTTATTTTTAGTTTTCCTGAGGTTAAAAAAAAAAAAAGCAACCCACAAAACTTATAATAAGCTTATAAAATGTATTGTGAAGTTTATAGTTTCATATTTACATATTTCAGAATGTCTAAAGTTGCAAATGATTCTAAAATATGACAGTTGTTTCACTAGCTCTAATTGTGTGCTTCCTGATAATTGTCCAATCACTCTAATAAGGCAATTTTTTGTATTTTCAGACATCTGGCTTCCTGTGGTATTTTGATGACCAAAGTGCCTCCATTACACATTTCACTTGTGCCTAAGGAGATCTCTACAAGAACTTTCTTCAAAATTGCTGCCCCATTAATAAACAAAAGAAAAGAATATTCAGAGAGGAGAATTATAGGGTTTGTATAAGTAAATAGTTCTATTAAGTGACATGTAAATGTCACTTCTCTAGCAGTGGAATCTTATTTTCCCCTTCTTTTAGCTTTCTATAGATTCTCTGATTTTTCTTTTATTAGTTTTTCTGCTGCCCTTGCTAGGAAGTTTTATTTCATTTTCTAGGTGCTTCTTAAATTTTTTAGTGATTTATAAATGTTCAAAAAGTATAATTACATTGTACACTTTATGATGAAGATTTAAACCTAGGAATTTACAGATTATTTCAGTAAAGTTTTCTGTAGTGTTCATGAAATTTGGTCACCTGTTTCCCCCCTTTTGAGTTTCTCAGGGATAATTCTGTTGTATTTTATAGACTTATTTTTATTCATTCCCTTTACCTTTGATCTGAGATTAGAAGTTCGTTGGCAAAAGGGGGACAGGGATGGAGAGAAGAAACTATTAGTTCACATAAATCATTGATACTTTTGAGCTGATAGATGGAAATTATCCTACCAAATCTACCTTTAAAAGGAAAAAGAAAAAAATCACCTACTTTTCATTGATGATCCGATGATTCAAATTTCTCTCCATTTTCTGTCATATTTAACATTACTGAATCTTCTCTCTGAATTTTGTCACTCTTCTTTACAGAAAACTTCATTCATATTTAATTCTTAGAGTAGTTTCATCTTGATAGGAATCTATTTAGATCATTTAATTTAGTTCAACATATTGATTACTACTATATTCGAAACACATTTGCCTAGGCACTAGGAAGATGAAAATGTAAACAGTTGCTGCCTTCAGGAAGTTTGCATTTTACTTACGTTCTTCATAATTTCCAAAGTGCTATAAAAAGATAGTTTTAATTTTTCATGCTCACTACTTTAATGATTTTATTTTAAAAAAAATCTCTTTTCTTTGACCCTAATAAGGCAAAGTCAAGCATGTCTAAGGAAGTAAAATAGTGAAACTAGCAGGGACTAAAGTTTGCCATTAGGGTAAGTTCAGGGGCTAGCCTCCAGCTCCAGTTGAGTAGTTTTAAAATGCTTCCAGGGATTAGTATAATGAAAAAAGCACTGTACTAGAAGTCAGAATTGTGTTTCTTTCTCTGACACACTAACTGGGATGACTTTGGGTAAGATATTCCCTTCTTATGGGCCTCAGTTTCTTCATCTACAAAATGAGGGGCTTAGACTAGAATATCTCTACAATACTCTAACTCTAAAAATGTATAATTTATTTGGAATTATATTGGGAAAAAAAGTTTTAAATGCATGCTATCTCAAAGCCAGATAAAATATGGTATTAGGTGTGAAAAATTAAGTGTTAGAGAATTCAAAAATATAGTTCCCTAATTCTATTTTAATGATTTTGGGGAAAAAAAATACATTAAAGTTTCAAATACTCCAAACAGATTTATTACAAAAATTTAACTAAAAGAAAACTCTAGGCCTTCGAATAAATTTTCTTATTTGGAAATATATTTTGTTATTTTAACCTGTACTGTGCTTCCTTCTTGGTTGAAAGTAGAACTTCAGTTCCCCACAATGTTATCAGAAAAAAAACATTTTAACATTCTTTAGCTTAAAGAAAGCTGATGAAACCTTTTTTTGTGTGTGTGTTGGAATATTTTTGTAGTAATTAGTGCTGTCATTTCTTCTTTTAATGAACCTTTGGGAAGTGGGCAGCACATTAATCACTGTCCCCATTTTACAGGAGAGAAGGGAAGGGCCTTGCCTTCAGATGTCACAGCTAGTAAGTAGCAGAGCTGGGCTTGAATCTCTAAAGCCTCTCATTACAAGCCAACAGCTTTTTATAATATGTTTTGTTGTCTCTAAAAAAAAGCTAGGTTGAGGAGAATGGCATTCTTTAAAAATGTCTATACAGAGCCATAAATCAGAACACTAAGAAGCATAATGATTTCCTGTTGAGTGGCCTGTTGCTTGTTGTCATTAGCCAGAAACATTGTCCATTATGTGTGTATGTCTGTAGTGGCATTGCTTATGTATTTCATTTAATCAAGTAATAATAATAGTAACTAACATTTATCCTACTATCTTAAGGTTCACAAAGCACTTTACATTTATTTTCTCCTTTAATCTTTATAGCAACTCTGTGTTAGATAGGTGCTATTATTTTCCCTGTTTTACAGATGAGAAAACTGAGGCTGAAAGTGGTTAAGTGACTTGCCCAGGGTCACACATCTAGCAAGTATCTGAGGCATGATTTGAACTCAGGTCTTCCTGACTCCAAGTCCTGCACTCTATCCACTATGCCATGTAAGGGTAATAAATACACACACACACACACACACACACAACACACACACACATATACACTCACATATATACATATATACACATGTATACATACATACATACATACATACATACACACACACACACACATATTTATATTTATTTATTCCAGCCTTCATGGTGCAGGTCATTTATAGTTCAGAATTGACCTGCACACAGTAGAATAGTAGTCAAGGGACTGAGAAATATGTGCATCTGTTGTGTTCATGGCAATCCATCTCAAAAATAAGATAAAACTAATGAGTTATTTTAAGGTGTTTAAATGTATTGCTTATTTTTCCTCTGAAGAGTTAATATGATGCTGGCAGATATTTGGCTTTTGTGTCCTAATTGCAAAAGTTCTTCAATAATTCATTATTAAGGACATGTCTTAAGGGCATGTTATTGATGCATTCTTATTTCCCTGCTTCTTCTTGTGCCTCCCAGTTAGATGCAGGTGGCAGGAGGGGTAAAAGAGGGAATGCATTTTGCTATTGCTACTAAGAAAAGAAAATGGAAAAAGACGCACTGGCTCACAATGTCAAACCTCCTTGCGCTTGTCAGAGATACCATTCCCCATGATAGCTCTGTTTTCTAGCTCCCTCTGCCGTAAAAGGTATGGACAATAATTGGTAAGATTGAATGGGTAAAATGAGCTCTCCCCTCCGCTCTGTGGAATAATTAGAAAGGAGAAGCTTCAATAAATATGAAAACAGAATTGTTACTGAAAAGAATTCTTTGTTTCTTTGTGCTTTGGAGGAACTGAAAAATGTGAAATGAGCCTACTTACCTTGTAATATATGTAAAGTAAAAATTAATATATGGCTTTTTTTTTTTAGAAACTCAAATAGATTTTGCATTTGTGCAAAGGAAGATTAGAAACATTTTCTACTCTGTTATAAACAATGTGAAGAAAAAATACTAGACTATCACTGACTTGTAATAATATTCATTATTCCTTTATAAAAGATGGGAATGTTTTTGGAAGTGTAAGCATAACCTATTGAAGTGGTATCAGAATAGCCTGTTAATAAATGAATGGGAAATAAAGATCTCAACACAGTCAGCAAATTAAGTTCCATGGATTTTTAGTCCAATTTTTGGAAACATAAGTATATTTTTTTACTTAACTCCCCATCTCTTAATTCAGTTTTGAAGCTTATTCCAAAAATTAATGTCTGTATTCATAATGTTGCCTCGTGTATGTTTTTGTTTATATTTACTTTAAAATATTAACATAACAGAAACATATTCAATTCTATTCTTTATTTCAGATATTCTATGCAAGAAATGTATGATGTAGTATCTGGTATGGAAGACTACAAGCATTTTGTTCCTTGGTGCAAAAAATCAGATATAATATCAAAGAGATCTGGATATTGCAAAACAAGATTAGAAATTGGGTTTCCACCTGTGTTGGAGCGATACACATCTATGGTAACCTTGGTGAAACCACACTTGGTCAAGGTAACTTTTCCTCATGTATTTAGTTTTTCCCTAGTGTGGATCTCATGTCATTTCTTATTGTTTAGATGTGTCAAAATAATAGCTTTAAAAGATTTTCTCAAAGCTAATAAAGTTGGGGGATTGTTATTTTAAAATCTAAGGAGCGTAATTCTAAGATGTTAGTGTATGATTGGAGTAAAGAATCCTCTTTTTCAATTGAAGAGCACTGTTCCATAGAGAAAAACATTAGTTTACGGCCAATGAGTGAGAACAAAGTAGTTTTGGGGCTCCTTTTTAGAAAGAAAACATTCCATTTTTAAGAAAACAGAAAATTATTTAGAAGATAAAGTATATTTTATGAAAATTAAGAAGAAAAGGGGAAGCTAGGTGGCTCAGTGGATAGAGCACTGGCCCTGAAGTCAGAAGGACCTAAGCTCAAATCTGGCCTCAGACCAAATACTTGACACTTACTAGCTGTGTGACCCTGGGCAAGTCACTTAACCCCAATTGCCTAAAAAAAAAAAAAGAAAAAGAAAATTAAGAAGAAAGCCAAAGGAGAATAGAAATGTTTTGTCCCCTTCTGTTTTAACATGAGATTTATGTGCACAGCCTTGCACCTGACAAGCATTTAAGTATACTTTGTTCTTTATGAGCACAAAAAAAGAAGCAAGTACTTACAGATCAGAGAAAAAGACTTTCCTGGGAGAGCAACTTTGTGACTTTCCAGTATTCTTAGAATTAAAATCAGAATATGTTGTGTTTTTGTGACTATTGGCAATTTCCTTAGCACATTTTCAATTGGCACTTTTTCTAAGGGCCAAATATTACATTACTCCCATCTTTGGCTTTCAACCAAGGCAGGGGAAGGGATCAACTGTGTGATAGCAGAGGGAAAGGTCGTATTCTACTCCAAGTCAAGACTTCAGCGTCTGACCAGTGCTTCTGCCAAGACTTGAGAATAGGCACAGCTGTCATCTGCCAAGTCCTAGAGTAGTCTAGTACAAAGCAGATGTCAGTAAAGTAGAGAAGCTTAGGTATCTGGTTTCCTCCAGGCACTTCAGGGCAGGAGTCTTTTCCTCTGAGTTCCCCTATCCCTTCCCCTCAGCTGACTCAAATATTTAGTTTGGTCATTTAAAAACAAAAAGAATTATGTTTGCTGATTTGAATTGCATAACAGTTATGCCAACTTGCTATATAAAGCAGGTTCGGTTAGGGCTGTCGTTGAATTCTAAGATACTTTGCAAGATCCATGACTGCTTTGGTGTTGATCGTTCCTTCTACCAGTGGAGCTCATGGCCCCTCCATGCTTTAGTAGATAATGATGAATTGTGCTAATCAAAAAGTTTCATCACTGGGTGGTGATGAGCCTTTCTGCTGGTTTAAAATCTTGAAACCATTTGAAATTTGTCAAGTTGAATAAAAGTTCCATAATTTTCACTCTACTGGCATGGCCTTTCAGAACCCAGGACTACTTCTGCATTATGTTAAGGCATCAAAGTAGGTCTTTTTAGAAAGATTGTTAAATATGAATCAAATTATATTTATTGTGAGTTTTGATTTTGACACTAAACAGTTCACATTTTGCTTCTCTCGTACCTTGATGGCCTCCTCTCAACCTTAGTGCAGTAGTGCAGAACTTGACTGCAGAAAATCATGAGGAATCATATTTATGACCTGAGTCCAATCTCCTGTCTAATAATTTAAGAAATATTTAGGAAGACCAAGGAGAACACCTGAGGCATTGTTTGTTCACATACTTTTCTGGGAGTTGGACTACCAGAAATTTGCCTGTGACTTTTTGAGCCATTTCTTTTACACTGAAATTTTCCATCAGCCAAAAAACTTTGAGAATACTCAAATGTTTCCAAAAGAGGCAGAAGTCCAGTTTACCTTCTGATCTATTTCTCAGGGATGTGTTTTTATATTTCCCTAGTTCACTTAGGGAAAGTAGTTGACAATATCTTCATAACACCTCCATAGCATTCAGTATATTCAGCCAAATGCTACTGGGAATAAAATATTTGAAGATTTTATTTCTGATGAAACACATCAGTAGATGGTGTTTCCTTAGGTTAAATTGAGGTTGTAAGTGAAATACCCTTGTATCTGTGTAAAAGTAGAATGAGAAATGCAGTATATTCCCTCTCACCCCTCCTCCATTCACTCTTACTCCCACTCCCCATTGATAATGATCTTGTAGATTACACTTGCATCTCTTTGTTTTAAGCATTTAAGACATTTATTTTGTATTGTATTTATTTTGCATGGCTTATCCTTCACTTCAGAGGGAAGGAGATGTATGTGGCCCACAACACTCCCAAATGTGGCCTAAACTAGTTTAAAATTCAGTCATATCTGATTTTAATGTGTTGATGTATTAATAAAAAAAGAAATATGTAAACATGTAATTTTCTAAGTGAGCATGTGGCCCACAGAGATCTTCATGTGTGGTTTAGTGATCCTAGTTTCTCTTTGAATTTGACACTACTGCTCTACTCCATCCTTCAGTTAGATTGTAAATTCTGGTGCTTTCCATGCAGCAAACACACAGTGCACATTACTCTAGATGAGTTAATGAATTCAAGTACATTGTGTCATATCAACTTCTTTTAACTTACAAATTGTGTTATGTTGATTAAGTTGAGGCAGTTGTTAATAAAAATGATTGTTAATATGGAACTTTTGAGTACTAATTAGATACAGTGCTTTAATCATTAGAGAAAATCCTAAAGTCTTATTCCATTTAACCTAATTTCCCCTGAATAAATATGGAAATGGTGGTGCTTGTTCCCCCAGTGGAATGCTCTACCTATCCACTAAATCTTATCCTGCCTTCAGTTGTCTGCCATGTAAAAGTTTTAGCTTTTCCAAATGCTTATTTCAGTCAATAAACCTTAGCCAGTTCCAAATGGATGCATTTAATTATGCCTTTTATATCATTCTAGGCATCTTGCACAGATGGGAAACTTTTTAATCACTTAGAAACAGTTTGGCGTTTCAGCCCTGGCCTTCCTGGATATCCAAGGACTTGTACGGTGGATTTTTCTGTATGTATTTAATAAAGTACTTGAATTGTTCAAAGTCAAATATGTGAAGTCAACAGAAGTGACGTAAATAGACCGGTTGGCTATCTTGAATGTATTTGTGTCATGACAGAGCTTCCCCAGATTTGTCAGACATATCTTATGGGGGACAAAGGATACCACCAATAGTAACCTAGAAAACTTTGCTAAGGATTATGAAGTTCAGAGCAAAAAAACTTAAGAACTTGAGGCACAAAAGATATTTTCATCATTTTTGCCAGATGAAGATAGGTGATTGAGAAGACAGAGGCATATTTAAGAAGTGAACAAGTTGGCAAGATTGATACAGTCCTTGAGAGTAGGTTGCAGATTTCTGGATAATGGCTTCAAGTATAGGAATGATGGTGGGCTTTTGAGAAGGTTAACAGCGTGCTTAACAACTTGGGATCTTTATTTGCTTGAAATCTTGAGAGGGAGGTAGAAGGAGAAACCTGTCCATGTAGATTCAACAGGTTTGACACTCCCAGAGTGCCAGTATTCAGTAGGAGGAACAGTAGCAGAAGATGGGATGGATAACTCATCCTAAACAATCTCCCAAGAAGAGAACCAGAGTGGAACCCATGGCCTCTGAGATCTATGTATAGATGCAAAAAAATGAAAAAATAACTTGCAAAGGCAAAAATTAATAGGGTTAAACTAAAGATCCTTAAATAGGGAGGTAAAATTTATCTCAAAAATATCTCTAAGACTTGGTGAGATGAAACTCCTGAGTGGAATTTGGCATGGGAAGGGCAAGCTTTATTCAAAAAGCAGACTAGATAAGGAGTCAGTTGAGGTTAAAATAGCATCAAATATTAAAATTCATATATGTACATATAGAAACACCATCATGTTAGTATTGCAAAGAAGGGCCTTTGTTTTTATGGGAAGCAATGTACTTCTTTACTATAATCAGTAAATAAGCACCTGCAATTCATTGAAAGCACTCCAATCCATTTTGCCTTTTCCTCTTCATCTATGAGACCAACTCATTGTTTACCTATACTATTCCAGAAGTAATAGGGTGTCCATCCAAATGCATAGTAAGATCTGGGCAATGGACATTTTTCATCCACTTGGTCTTTTCTGTGTAGATAAACAGGTCAGCAGACTCCAAGACAGAAGGAGAGATTTGATGATAAATGCACGAATAAACATTTATTAATCACTTATGTCAAGCACTGTGCTATCCAGGAGCTGATTTAGATCAACAAGAAGTAACAGAAGTAGAAAAGAGACTGTAGGGGCCAGCCTCCACAGACTTTATGAGAAAAGTTTAACATTCATACTAGACTTTGGGAGAGCAGGTTTCAGAGAGTTCATAGGAAGAATAGGGAGGATTTAATGATATAATAATGCTTTGCTGGGGAAGTTAGCCCAAGAGGAACAGGAAGCTCTTAAGAATGAAATTCTAAAGGCACAAGCAGATTCCATTGAGAATAAAAAAGTGGAACCATCTGAGGAGAGACTGCTGACTCATGGGGTACTCATAGATAAACTCAGATTTTAAATGGGGGGGGGACAAATAAGTGAGAGGTGGTACAGTGAATAAAGCACCAGGCCTGGAGTGAGGGAGTCATCTTCCTGAGTTCAAATTTGGCCTTAGGCACTTACTAGCTGTGTGACCATGGGCAAGTCACTTAACCTTGTTGGCCTCAGTTTGCCCATTTGTAAAATAAACTGGAGGACATGGCAAACCACTCCAGTATCTTTGCTAAGAAAACCTAAAATGGGGTCATGAAGAGCCAGACACAACTGAACAACAATAAGAATTGTGTCAGGAACACTGAACCCAGAATGACCTAAGGTTGATAATAAATGATACTAAGGACAAATGTTAAAGCACAGCATAGTTTTTGGTTTTGATTTTTAAAAAGTACATGAGAGCAGGAGGAGGGTCACAGAACAGGTCCTTCTGGTCAGGGCAGACAGGATGATGATTACTAATGCCAGTGATAAAGTAGAGCTGCTTAACATTTACTTTGTATCTTTTTTTTGCTAAGTACAAAAGTGATTAGAAGCCAATAGAAACACAGTATATGTAAAGAGACAACGAGGTAGCATCTAGTTGGCCTCAGGTGACCAGACCTGACCAACAGCAGGCAGATATTACTTAGTTGCTTCCAGTGATCTTTGAAACATCCCAGAAAATGAAAGAGGTGTCCCAAGACTGGAGGAGAGCAAATGTCTTATTTTTTTAGAAATGGGAAGACTTGTATTCCTGGTAAAATTCTGGAACACATTAGTAATGGGTTAAGTTTGATATGTGAATGCTTAGAAATGAAAGTGGTGATCTCCATGAGACAACATAGCGTCATCAAGAACTGGGTCAGACTAACCTCATTTCTTTTTTTGACAAAGTTGCTAAAAATAATTAGGTTTATAGCCCAGAAGAATAATGTAAATAGAGTATACTTTGATTTCAGTAAAGCATTTGATATAGATCTCTTATGCTATGCTTGTGGATGAGGTGAAGAAGTATGGGCTACCATGCTCTCTCAGCACTCCACTCTCTTTCATTCTGGGAAAAGAACTAAAAACAGGGAACAGGACAGGCTGAAGTGTTACGTGTTGTGACCTTAATTAAACAAAGCTTTCTGTATCTTCCCCATGATTCCTGTCTTGTAATTAGGCAAATTCCTTGTCTTTATGTGGCAAAATTCAATCTAACCAAAGCTAGCAGTGGCAGCCATGTGGTACTGCTCAATAATTGCAGGTGGTGGGGCAGCGAGGTGGCACAGTGGATAGAGCACCAGCCCTGAAGTCAGTAGGACCTGAGTTCAAATGTGACCTAAGACAATTAACACTTACTAGCTGTGTGACCCTGGGCAAGTCACTTAACCCCAACTGCTGGCGAAAAACCAAAACAAATAATTGCAGGTGGAGAAGAATTTCTTGCAGGAAACATTCTTCCTTCTGATGTGAAGTTGGCTAAGAATCCGACCCAAACACTTATATAACCCTTTCCTACATTTTTTGTCAGCCAGAATTTTGGTTTTCCTTAGGACAATGTTTCTAAAACTATTCAGTTGCCAGTTCTTGTTGATTCTACTTCTACAATTTCTCTTGCTTCAATCCCCTCCACTCACAGGGCTATAGCTCTAGTTCAGGCCCTCATCAGTTTGGGCCCAGACAATTGCAAAAACCTTTTAACTGGGTTTCCTGCCTTTTGTGTCCCCTCTATTTAGTCCATCCTTCACATAGCTGCCAAAGTGATGCTTTTCATTCACCTTTTTGCCACAAAAACTCTTGTGCATGGCTCCTTTGATCCGTAGGATCAACATAAACTCCTCTTGGCTATTTAAAGCTTTCCACAGTTTGACTTTACCTGGTCTTTCCACATTTATTAACCATTATTTGCATTCCTGGTACAGGCCAGCCAAAATAGCCACATGCTAATCCTCAGAAATGAAATTCTATTTCCTCTCTCTGCCTTTGCACACCTCATGCCTAGAATGTACTTCCTGCTCTTTTGATCCTTAGAATCCCTAGCTTCCTTCAAAGCTCTGCTCAGGCACCCTCTTACATGAGACCTTTTCTTACCCTTCCCCCTCAGCTTGCTAGCTCTATCCCCAAATCAAATCTATCCTGTATTTACTTTGCATATACTTTGTACATGTACTCATGTGAACATGTTGCTTCCCCTAATAATGTGAGCTCCTTGAGGACAGAGACCGTTTAATATTTGCTTTTGGATACTCAGTGTCTAATGCTTATTTTCTATACATACGTGGATTTCACCTAAAACAATTTGACTCTTTTCCACAGATTTCTTTTGAGTTTCGTTCACTTCTACACTCTCAGCTTGCCACACTATTTTTTGATGAAGTTGTGAAGCAGATGGTAGCTGCCTTTGAAAGAAGAGCATCCAAACTATATGGTCCAGAAACTAGTATACCTCGGGAATTGATGCTACATGAAGTTCATCACACATAAATGAAAAAAGAACTGGTGCTGTCTGCTTATAATTATGATTTTAATCTAGTTCACTTTTAAAAGTGCTTTCATCACTGTGCTTTCAAAAGACAGGAAGTAGTTGTTAAACCTAGCTTAGTGTGTAAAAATGACACCATTGAAAATGTGCACACAAAATATGCAACCACATGTGCATAGAATTATTTGCTTCAATCAAGTGCAATTCAGGGTAATTTGTACATTAGCATGTTGTGTACTTATAATAATGAGATGTGGTTATTATTGTTAGAATACTGGTATCACTTTTCCCAGCACAATTTCAAATTTGTAAATCAAAAAAGCAATTGTAATTACTACTTTACCTGAAATATTAGTTGTATTTCTGCTCTGTGTAATATATTCACGGTATATCAAGTTTAAGTTATTAAATCCAAAATATTTGTAACTTATTATTATAGGGCCTACCTTGATGGCCTGGGGTGTTTGATAATCATCAGTGCATCATTACGGTAAAAACTTTGTGACCTGACAATATTGCTTATGAGGGTATGAAGCATACTTTTATATATTTTCATAGTGATCTTATTAGCCTGATTTTTATTTTTTATTTTTTGGTCAGTGGTCCAGAGCTTTAAGATACTTTCCCAGTAGTTTGTACCCTTCCCCAGGTACCTACTTGGCTGCTCTTTCAACACTGTTGAGGGCCAAATTGCATCTACTACAGTTGACAACAGGTTCAGATGGTTTGGTTGACATTTCTGGCAGATTGCATCCCCGTATTTTTATTTATAGAGTGCATCCACTTTCAATAATGTATTTTAAACTTTAACTGATATTTTTTTAAACAAAACAATGTGAGCACTGAAGAGGTAACTTAATAAAGTTAAAGCAGTTTGTTTACTTTTTTGTATATTGTCATTAAAATCCTTATTCCTTTATTTTTATAAATGCACATTTATAGTATAAGAACAAACTAAGTAAAACTTATTTCTTTCTGATGGCTTAGGATTTAAGGTACCCCCATATCTAACAACTCTCATCATTCCATAATCTCTATATCAGGTTCTAGACTATATGAGCATAGTGAAACAATTTTTCATAGCCATTAAACCTAAAATTCAGTTTTAGAAAATAATTATATCATTAACCTTTTACTCTTTGATTATCACTTTAGCAGTGTTTAGGTGAAACCAGCACTGGATGGAGTTTCTAGACTTCAACAAATTGACCCAATACCTTCCTTTAGGTTAAGATACCATCCCCAGTTTACAGGTGAGCAAATGTTGCTGAACTTCAGTAATTTACCATAGCTAAGAAGTTATAGAAGAACTAAAGCTGCTTTTTAGTGCAGTAGAGGAAAATAGCATGCTATTTATACATTTATGGAAGAGAAAATAAAGTCTCATTCTCCTCTAACCCATAATTACATCACATCACCACAAAAACCCTTTATGTATGTATGTATGCATGCATGCATGCATGAGGCAACTAAGATGCTACACCAGAGAACACTGGGCCACAAGTCAGAAAGGCATATTCAGATCTGGCCTCAGACACCTCCTAGCTGTGTGACCCTGGGTAAATGACTTAACTTTGCCTCAATTTCCTCGTCATTAAAATAAGGATAATACCTACATCCCAGAGTTGTTTTGAGGATGAAATGAGTTATTGACATTCATAAATGTGCTCTGCAAGCCTCAGAGGTACATATGCTATTATGCGAGACGGTCTGATTGCTGAGTCCTGTCAGTTTGAAGTATAGGGTTGTTAGCACCTGTACATTTTATATTATTTCAGTGATCATCAAATAGGTTAACTTCCTTACCCTAAGGAACTTGGTACATACAGGAAGAGAAAGGGACCAGCAAGTACTTAAAGACAAGGCAAAGTAAAATTCAAGTGCTTTAAGAAAGCAGGCATGACTAATTTTTTAGAAGTGACTAGGGAAGGCACTACAGAAGTTAATATTTGAGGAGCTAGAGATGTTGTTCCCTCCCCTTATTTAAAAAAGGGGGGGCAGGGCCTCTTCCCCCTTACTTTAAAAATTGAGGCCCAAATCATTGAAATGAATTGCTCAGGGGCAGAGCCAAGAGTCTCACTCAGGCCCTCTTACCTACCAATACATCATCAGGGAGAGAGCTATAGTAATATAGAAGTAAGTGATTCTGGGACGAGAGAATTGAGCAGGAGAATAAAGTTTTGTTTTGGACACTAGTGGCTAGAATATTTATAGGAGTATTAAGACTATAGGTATTGGGCCACACTGTGGAGAACCTCAAACCTGGTATTCATGGCTTACATAGTGAATCATTCTCTAGTAACTAACAAACGGACCCAATAACATAAGTACAGTCATCATTATTTGAACCCCCAGGTCTGACCCCGAGTCCAGCGTTTGTTCCGCTGTACCACATTTTACCATATCCCAGTCTCAGGTAATATGAAATTTCACCTTACCAATTTTCCATTTATATTTGTATTGTTTAGATGAAACCAACATTTTGGTCAAATTTTTAGACTTCAACATCTGGTAAATGGGTTTTTATTTTCTTATACTTTTAGCTCTACCAGTACACAGGAATAAGATAATACAATTATTAACTTTAAACAATTTTATTACACAAAGGTCATCACATAATTGGTATTTCTCTACTTTGTACACAATTTTAATTAGTCTTCGTCTGCACAGAAAGGCTGCTTCTGAACTTTCCTTCTAGTGATGGCAAATGCTAAAATTCCAATTTAACAGAATAATAGTAAAATTGCTTCAGCTGGTTTAAGTTGAAAGCAGAACATCGGTACATGGATCTTGCACCCAGTATTAGGAATGTACAAATGTCTTTATTCAAAAAATACAAAATAAATTATCTGTATCATGGATAATGACAGCAGTAAACCATTACATATTTTGTCAACTGAAACCAGTAACTGATGGTTATAGTGATTTTCTTGAACATCAGCCTTTACTTCAGTCCTTTCTCCAACTGACTTCTCTGAAGTTAGCGAAGAACACTGCCTTGAGTCTTGCTTGCATCACAAATCATAATGATAGAGCATTATTCTAGGAAATTAGAACATGCCGCCTCCCATGCCTCCGCCCATTCCACCCATCCCTCCCATGCCAGGTTCTTTCTCTTCTTTAGGTATTTCAGTAACAACAACTTCTGCTGTAGTTAACAGAGAAGCTACACCAGCAGCATCCAACAAAGCAGTTCTTACAACCTGGGGGGGAAAAAATTAAAATATTAATTTTTCCTAAGTATTCCAAACACCAGCCTGGATAATCATTCTCTATACAGCCTTGAATTTCTGCTGTGTCTTGGGAAAAACATGGTGAAGATGAAGTTAAAAATGTTTACCTTAGTTGGGTCAATTATTCCTTTTTCAACCATATTCACAAAATCTCCAAGCATGGCATCGTAACCTATCTCTGATGAGCTTTGTAAAATTTTCTCTACTATCAATGAACCTTCAACACCCGCATTCTTAGCAATGGTCATTGCAGGGATTTTCAATGTCTTCTTAATCATTTCTATTCCTATAGAAGGAAAATTAGAAAGTCTACTGAGTTTAGTTCATAACAGCAAATATCATTAATAGTTAATATACAGCACTTAAGACTTGCAAAGTATTTTAAGTATAGTATTTCATTTTTTTTCACTCCCAACAATCTTGAGGTAGTAGGTGCTATTTTAATAATCATTTTACAAATGAGGAAACCCAGGCCGAGATTAAGTGACCTGTCTGGTTTACAATGCTAGTGTCTGAGGCTATTCAAAAGCAGGTATTGCTGACTCAGGTCCTGTATTCTATTCACTATGCCATTATATATATCCCATTATAATACAACAAAGTACATATCTGAAAATACAACTAGATCACACCTTTCCAACACCCTCTCCTCCCAGAAACTAGTCATACTTCCTTTTTCTTTTGGACTGGCAGACCAGGAGAGAATGCCAGTAACAACATACCTAGGTTTCAACAAAGCACTAAAGTCTTCTGATATCTTTGTAAAGACAAGATGAAAAGTGGACTAGAAGGTACAATTAGAGGTATTCAGCACTGTTGAATGACCACCAATCCAAAGAAAACACCTATCTTAAAAACATTAACACTATAGCTGACCACATTAGTAGACATCATGTCCCACTACTAACGTACTGATTGTCAAATTGGAGGCCTTAGGGTCCTGTTCTAGTCAAAATTGTTATTAACAACATAGATGGATGGAGTATATTAACTGAATCTGCAAGTGACCCAAGCTGAGAGAGATGCTAAACAAAAAGGGTACAACAAGATTTCAACATGGGTAGAGTATAATAAGTACTTTGGGAAAAGGTGCTGCAACACAACTGAAGACAAGATAAAACTCCCCAAAAAGTGAAATGGGATGGTATCAGGAGATAGTGACACCTACTTTGATGTAGCCTCCCTGTTCATGTTGGATTAAGTGACTTCTGAGACCCTTTCCAACCTTAAGACTATTAAGAACTGTATCTAATGAATATTAATCATCTCTAATTATATCTTTACTTTTTCTGTCTTCTGTCAACAGGAATAGTATATTCTCAATAAAGACAGTTAACACCAGTTCAAGTACAAATTTGTAAGGATATTCTTTACCAATTTTTTGATCTTCATTAGCTGGAGTTAATGTTTCTAAGGCAGGAATGCATCGAAGCAATGCACAGCCACCTCCCAGAACTATGCCTTCTTCAACAGCAGCACGTGTAGCATTAAGTGCATCAGTAACCCGGTCTTTCTTTTCATTCACTTCGACATCACTTGTTCCACCAACCTAAAAGTACAAGAAAACTCAGTGTTAAACATTACCATATTATTAAAAAGCACAAAGGAAAAAAAAACTTATAAAGTCAACTTCTTATATTTCTAATAAGATACTTCATTATCCAACTCCTAATCAACTGTACTGAATCAGTTTTTAACCAATTTCCCATTTAGACTTTTTCTGTGCTGCATTATTTGGAGTCACAGACAATTTAACCTAACAGTGAAAGGAGGAACTTGCTATTAGAAAGGAAACAGTCCAAACTATTTCCATGGTTGAATTAGGTCATCATGTATGTCTTACCTTTATTACAGCTACTCCATCAGAAAGTTTGGCCAAACGTTCATTTAACTTTTCTTTTTCATAGTCACTAGTGGTAACCTCTAATTGTTCAATGATTTCTTGAACACGTTTTTCAACTTGGGATTTTTCACCCTTTCCTTTCAAAAGCATGGCATCATCTTTTGTCACAATGACCTCTCCAACTTTTCCAAAGTCATGAGCTTGAATATCCTCAAGATTCAGAGCCAATCCCTCTTCTCCAAACACCTGTAAAAATTATGATGAAATATGCTAGATATTAAGTAATAATTTCATTACTCAAAAGTATCTCAAAATAATCTCAAAAGTAGAACTTTTGTCTATCACATCAAGCTCATTTGGAACACATCAATCTATTTAGTCTGCAAAAGAACTGGGCGATGTTCTAAGTCCAGACTAAAAAGAATTTGATAGTATGTAAACTAGGCATCCTGCCACCATAAAAACAGTCTGTTTTGATTTTTATCAAATTCAGGTCTTCATGACCCTGGGCAAGTCACTTAACCCCACTGCCTAGCCCACCCCACCCCCCAAAAAAGAAAGAAATTCAAGTCTTCAGACTCCAAGTTCAATATAATTAAATACCATTACATACAAGCCACAGTAATCCAGTTGTTCTACTATATCACGCTGCACATATTTTAAAAGACGATTTATCACATTAAATGTAAATTTTTGTGGGTGCCTGTATCCCTAGTCCTTATTGACGTTAAGCTATTTTACTTACTGTACCACCAGTAGCAATAGCCATATCCTTAAGCTGGTTCTTCCTGTTGTCACCAAATCCTGGAGCTTTTACTGCAACAACCTGCAGCCCAACTTTTAGCCTACCAACACAGAAATGTTACAAGAATGTTTTAGGACTACCAGTAAAGAAACTCAGTTTGCATTCTTCAGATGCGGTTTTATTGCCTCTTACTCCTCTCAATAATAAGGGCTGCTAGCCACAATGTATTAAAAACAAAGCTGTGAGGCCAGCAAATCCCAGAGATCAAACCCTTGAAACCCTGAAGACCCAAGACCATTTTTAGCACCAAGATCACGCTGACTATACATGACAGCATGGCACACAATGTATTTGGTATGTTCCATCAAAATTCATTTTCTACATGTTTGGTTTGTACAAATTCTAGTCCAGAATGCTTACTCAAAATGTTAACATAATATAAAATGAAAATCTGTTTTTTGTCTAGACCTCTGATTTCATAAAATGAGAGATCAAAGAAGTCTTTTTTTTTTTGGTCCTTTTTCAGAAAAAAGGTGGCACAGTGGATAGAGTATCGGCCCTGGATTCAGGGATTCTGGCCTCAGACACATAACACTAGCTGTGTGACCCTGGGCAAGTCACTGCCTAGCCAAAAAAAAAAAAAAAGCTGCCCAGGACAACAAGGTTAAAATAACGTGTTCATGGTTACATGGCTAGCCCTCTAAGAAACAGGACTTGACTCCAAGCCTCTCTGCCTACTATACTATGACAACTTTGTCAGTAAAACTCCTAATACTATACTTATTATAACAAAAATGAGTAGTCATGGGTTTCAGAGTCCAGACAATTTCTTGAACCCAGGCCCTCAACATTGGTATTATTTCTACTATACTCAACTGCCTCCCCATCAAGCCTTTTTCATGTTCAACGTATAAAAATGTTAAAGCAGTTTACTAAGCATATTTTATTAATCATTAAATTGGCTGCCTTGAAATTAATGGGGAAACTTGGCAAGATAAATGCAAAGCATCAACTACAAGTATACCAAATGAACATCTAATTAGACCTCAGATGACAAAATCAGGCTTTCTTGTAGTTCAAAGTTAACACCACTATTTTTATACCTGTGCATTTTCTGTATCTATGAGTTTTTCACTGCTTTTTTTTTTTTGCTTTTAGGCAATTGGGGTTAAGTGACTTGCCCAGAGTCACACAGCTAGTAAGTGTTAAGTGTTCAGTCTGAGGCCTGATTTGAACTCAGGTCCTGCTGACTCCAGGGCCAGTGCTGTATCCACTGCGCCACCTAGCTGCCCCTTCACTGCTTTACCATTAAAAAAAACCCATGAAAAATTGCAATGGGACTTAAGATTTAAGATCCAACACCTAGCAGTACAGTTGGGTTAATGGCTCTCTCTAGAGTAGAGTCTTCAAATATCCATGCCTCATTACCTGTTCAAAACCAGTGTACTTAGTGCTTCTCCATCAACATCTTCAGCAATTATGACTAAAGGCTTACGGTGAGCATTTGCAATTTCAAGTGCAGGTACAATAGACTGGACACTAGAGATCTTTTTTTCACTTAAGAGAACATAGGCATCCTGGAATTCACATTTCTGACCTGTATGATGTAACAAGACAAATGTACGCAAATTATGGAATTTTACTATTTATCTAATGTGACTACCTACTATCCCCATAAATTTGATGTGTAATAAATTATGTTAAATAAGTTACAGTTTATGATCTAACTCAGGCAAGTGCCCATAGGAAGACTGCTAAATAAATTTATTTTAGTCCACTTGTAAAAAGAATTCATTTTTCAGCTTCTCAGTTTATCCTCCCCAATCCACTCTGCCATTTTCTTCACCCTTTCCCCAAACCCACCTTTCCCCTAATTAAAATGACTTAGCTTGCTATTTTAACCAAGTATTTCCCCCCACATTTCCTAAATGCAAAAATACTCCTCCAGAAATGTCACAGCCAATGTACATGACACAGTTCAGATTATACAGCCCATATATGCCTTTAAATGTCAGAGATCACACATTATTTACCTTTAGCTGTATTAATAAAATATGGAGAGATATAGCCTCTGTCAAACTTCATGCCTTCAATAATTTCCAATTCATCATTCAATGTTTTTCCATCCTGAAAATATGAAAATGTAAACTATGAATATAGTGGAAAGCAAACATACACAAGAATTAAGAGAGTAACCAAAATTAGGGGAAAAAATCTAAACAACATGCAATTAAAAATTAGCCCACTAAGGCTATGTATAAACAAGCAAACTAGTGGTAGGATTGGATTTGTATAATTTTTTTGATTATCAACATACAAAACCCCCCTATAATATAGTTATGCCCTATGATCCAGAGATTTTAACAGGGTTATTTCTTCAGAACATTTTTTTTTTAGGCAATTGGGGTTAAGTGACTTGCCCAGGGTCACACAGCTAGTAAGTGTCAAGCATTTGATCTGAGGCCACATTTGAACTCAGGTCCTCCTGACTTCAGGGCCAGTGCTCTATCCACTGCGCCACCTAGCTGCCTCTCTTCAGAACATTCTTAAAAGGTGAAACACAATACAAAAAATATTCTTGAGTAGCATAATCTGAAATAGCAAATTGGACATAAAGAATTGGGGACTGGCTAAACCAATGTGATACAATCTAATTTTACCACAAGAATACCATGAATAGATAAATACAATGGCAGAATTCAGAAGGGGGGGGAGGTTTCTAGTTATTACACCTGTTAAAAAAATGTAAAAGAATTATCCACTGGTTGTGCCGTTTTCAAAGTATTCACAAAGTGCTCCTTTCAACAAGCCTAACTGGAGCAGAATTCTTAAGAGGCATGTTATTGATACTCAATGGAATATTAAAATGATAAAAAATGACTTTTTCCTCTAACCATCAGAGCCAGTCAGTGTTTCAAGAGAACAAGTGTTAACAAGACCAAAGTCTGAACAATCCGTTAGCTTTGCATACCACTGGTCACAAAGAAAAGCAAACTTGATCTTGGTATATGATTTACTTACACTACTGTAAACTAAAGACTACTTTCAAATAAGTTTGTCTTGATGGCATTGGGCTGTCAAATAACAAGCCTTTATTAGGTTCCTACCATGTGTTAGGGGCACTACTGAATCAAGTACACAAGAATCAACAATCTATACAACATTAAAAAAATTTTTTTTTACCCATCCCAATAAAGACTCATCGTAACTTGCCTTTACTGTGATGACACCCTTCCGTCCAACCTTTTTCATTGCATCAGATATTATGTTGCCAATTTCTCGGTCTCCATTTGCAGAAATTGTAGCAACCTAAAAGGTAAATCAAGTTAGTATTTCAAATTGTCAACAAACAACCCACTTTGGCCCTGGCAACATTAATCCTGTTTTTAAACCACCCACCATTAAAACACCCCCCCAAACCACAAATGTATTGTCATTATGAAATGAAGCACTAAGGAAAAGTTTAACTAGAGACCTGTTCCCTAAACATAACCCCTACACTACAATGTACCTACATTTATTTAGAATTAAAATTTTTTCTTTGCCATTCAAGAGAGGCTAATTTATTATTTCAGTCAGAATAACCCCAAGTACCAAAATCAACCTGGGGCTAAAATGTGAATCCATCATATCACACCCAAATTGGAAGTAAAAAGGCAAATACAATGAAACTTGAAATTTGCACTGAGTGTTCTTAGCTTGACCAACATGAAGTAAAATGATAGCAACTTTTTTTTTAATGCAATTGAGGTTAAGTGACTTGCCCAGGGTCACACAGCTAGTAAGTGTCAAGTGTTTGGTGTGAGGTCACATTTGAACTCAGGTCCTCCTGACTTCAGGGAGGGTGCTCTGTCCACTGTGACACCTAGCTGCCCCCGATTTTACTTTTAATAGATTATAGTTGTTACCACAATGTAGCCAGCTTACTAAGAATGCCTACCTGAGCAATTTCTTCAGGTGTTGTGACAGGTTTAGACTGCTTCTTAAGCGCAGTAATGACAGCATCAACAGCCAACATCACACCTGAATCCAAAGTAGTTTGTTATTATAATATTTATTTTGAGCCAACAATTAGTTTCATGAAGCTGGTAAGAAATTAAAGTCTTTAAGAAGCCTACATGTTGCTTCTGTGCCAGTCTTGAGACATCAAGGGTATTTTCAATAAGATATAATAAAGGACTCAATGGATAATCAGTCAAAGGATATGAACAAACAGTTCTCAATCTTTAATACAAATGACTGATCTAAGTGACTAAGAAATGAAAATAAAACCCAGAAAATTCATCTTATATCCAGTAAACTGGAAAAGATGACAGAAGATAAGAATACTCACAATGGTAGAGAGATTATGGAAAACCAGGCACACCAACATACTTCTGGTGGCTATGTGAACTGGTTCAAAAATGTGGAATTATACAAAGTAACTAAAATGTCTATACCCTTTAATCCAGAGACCCCCAGGATTTAGGCATCTGCCTCAAAGAATCAAAGTCAAAAAAAAAAAAGCCACATTTAAAGCAACTTGTACCCAAGACGTATTTTAAAATCTGAGTAGAACCAAAATGCTTTAATAGTTATGCATTGACAAAACTAATTTTTAAAAAAATCATTCTACAAAGGAGACTGACAAAAATAATAAGCCACATTGACCAATTATCACCAATACTGGCAGCTTTTCTTTTCTTTTTAAGCTCACTCTCCTGCTTATTTCAAGGACAGTCAAATCAAAACTAAAGAATTTACATTTATTTTTTATTACTTTAGCCCTGATATAATATAGCCAAAGTTAAAAATCAAAATTGAATCACAGATAAAATAAAAATGAACATGCTTTCAAGTGAATTAGCCAATGGTTAATTTTCCTAAATGGACAACTCATTAATATTTAAATGCATTGCAACAATTACATTAAGTCTTACCTCTCCTGATTTCCACTGGATTTGCTCCTTTGCTAATCTTCTCAAAGCCTTCCTTAGCAATGGATCGTGCAAGGACTGTGGCAGTGGTAGTGCCATCCCCAGCCTCTTCATTTGTATTATTGGCAACATCCTGAACTAGCCTGGCACCAATGTTTTTATATTTGTCCTTCAAGTCAATCGCTTTTGCCACAGTCACACCATCTTTTGTTACCTTGGGACTTCCCCAACTCTGTTCAATGATCACAGTTCTTCCCTAGGAACACAAGAATATTGAATGCGATAGTCACGTGCATTCCCTCCAAAAGCAGGTCCAAAGAGAAATAGAACAATTTTATATAAACTATGAAGAGCAATATCACAAAAAAAAGATGTAAAAGTATATCTACTTGGAAACACTCCAAGGTACCAGATATACCACCAGAAAGTCTATTATCATATTGCCTCACTAATAATTCAATCCCAAATCATGGTTCCCAAGGAGAGGCTTGGCAAAGCTCCAGCATACAATCAAACTGACCTTCCCTCTGAAGCTTAACAAGGGCACAAATCTTGGACAGTACCACTAGGTGGCATCAAGTGTAAATTTAGTGATTATTAGTGCCTACCCAAACCATTCATATTTTATCCCTTTGAAAAGTAAATAGATCTGGGCAGCTAGGCGGTGCAGTGGATAGAGCACCGGCCCTGAAGTCAGGAGGACCTGAGTTCAAATCCAGCCTCAGACCAAACACTTGACACTTACTAGCTGTATGACCCTGGGCAAGTCACTTAACCCCAACTGCCAAAAAAAGAAAAAGAAAAAAAGAAAATAGATCACATCATTCCTAACAACCTAAAGTAAAGAAACAATCCCTACTTTCAAGGCTCTTACCTTCTAGCCTTAAAACTGGGGTAGTGGAAAGTGCCCAGGATTGATCTGAGATCTGAGCTCAAATCCTAGCTCTTTAGAACTAGGTTTCTTTGTCCTATAGAGTAAACTAGACGGCCTCAATAGTTCCTTCCAGCTCTAAATCTATGACTCCCAGTCATCCATCTAGTCCAACACTCTCATTTTAAAGGTGAGGAAACTCAACTCCAGAAATGTCAAGAAACTGGCAGCATATGGTATATGAATGTAATAGAATATTAATCCATAGTTAAAAACACAGAGTTCAAAGAACCAGAAGATTCCTGAACTGATGAAAAGATTTTGATTTTGCCACTTATGGCCTATATCAGCAGGATCAAACTTAAATAAAAAGGAATCACTAGCACACTTAGAAAATGACAAATTAATATTATCTGTTGTATTTTTATTTATTTTGTTAAATATTTCCCAATTCCATTTTAATTGGTTTGAGCCACACTGGAGTTTTGCAGGCTCCATTTTGGCTCCTCGGGCCTACTGGAATCACTCAGGTAAGTCACCTCACTTTCTAGGCTTCAGTTGCTTCACCTATTAAACAAGGGGGCTGAAATTCAAGGCTTCTTTTTCCACTCCAGATCCCTTCAGCGCTGGACTAGATGACTTTTAAGGTCCCTTCCAGCTATCATAGTGTTATGTATCACCCATGCCTAAGTGAGATTCTTTGCATGATTGAGAGAACATTGGTCTTTCATCTGTTTAATGTGGAGGAATCATATTTATTCTTTATTGCATTTAACTAATACCAGAACTGATCAAATTTTAGCTATCTGTAAACTCTTCTATGAATAGCTACCATGTCCAAGGTCTTTTTTTATAGATCACTGATGGAAATGATTTGCAAAACAAGTGAAAATACTATGATGCCACACCCTTCTCCACAAGTGGGAGATAACCTCACTTATAATTATATGGATCTCTGGACACTAGTACTAAATTCAATTCCTAAATTTTAGTTGGACATATTAAATAAAATCAAAGTCTCCCCCAAGATAACAATTCTACCCACTTAAATAACTGCCTATGATTACAATCATAATCTACTAAAAAGGAAGATTTCCTGTAATTAAACAAAAAACAATTTCCCTAAGTATCTTGCCTACAATCTGTCCTTCCACTGACCCAATTTCCCATCTCCTGAAGTCAGCATCACACACTCAAGTTACATTAATGTTATCAAAAGGCTAAAAAAAAAATACAAAGCAGCAAAAGTTTTCTTTACATGACAAAGCCTGCAAATAAAGGTTTATTATACTTTTCCCCCTCACTCCCTAACCATGAGAGTTCAGGCTATCAGGATTTGAGCCAAAGTTTAAACACAAACCAGGTTAGTTTTGCCGGAGTTATGAACTGCCTCTTCATTACTGGGTAAAGCAAACGACTCCTATCCAGTTTAATAAAATCGTGAAAATGGGAAAACTGAGAATCAAGAGGAAGCCACCTAATTAAATCTGGCTGAGGCAGTTTTGAGCCTTACCTGACTTAATCAGTTCAGTAAAAAAGTGCTTACTTGAAGTTACCCGCTAAATGTAAAACCTTACTCTTAGCTCCCTTAGCAATATAAAACTTCTCATACATTCTTATTCAATCCAAGACAGTTTTAAGGAGGGAAAAAAAGGATACTGATACCTTTGGCCCCATAGTAACGGCAACAGCATCAGCTAAAAGATCTACACCTTGAAGCATTAAAGCTCGGGCATCTGCTCCAAATTTGACGTCTTTAGCATAAGCACGTGTCAGGTGGGGGGCCAGTGCCCTAGACACTGGCCTTATCTGACGAAGGACTGTAGACAACCGGAGCATTTCTAGAAAAATGAAATCATTTAGATCAGTTCGAATGCTCTAGATTCCCTGTGGCTCGACTGTGCCACCTGTTGAAAGAAATATAAAGTGGTAGGCGCCCATTGCACAAGAGCCTCCCCAACATCTGAAAGCATTTCTCTAGTAGTGCCACTACCAGCAGCGAGGACCCGACTACTGCTACATCTAAAGCCACATTCTAGCCTTGGCCCCTAACACCAGGTCCTCAGCTCCCCTACACCATACAGACCCACCTAAATTCGCATTCCTCCTTTAGCCTCCAAGTAAAAACCAGAGTTAATCTTTATTTCTGCACTAGCTGGTAATGCGCTTCCCACATGCCCCAAGAATGAATTAAAGGCGAGAGGAACACAAGAGGAACTCCATGTGAAAGCAATGATAGAAAGCCAGGTCGAGGGGTTAGAGAGAAAATCCCTGACATAGCAGAACGCCCATCGGGAGGATAGTCTCCTTGTATCCATACGGTCGAAACAGTATCAGCGTGAGACACATTTGAGACTCGGAGAGCAGGGGCCGCCAGCCCCCGCACCCGGCCACATGTCTTTCCATCAGGACACATGGTACAAGGTCAACGATCCCATCATTCCTCCCTCTGCTGTAGGAAGAGCAGAGCTGCACGAACACGGGCTGCCGACCATCCCTTTTTGCCCCCAGCCGAGACCCCCCCCCCAACCAGAATCGTGCCGGGGCAGACCTGACCGTGGCCCGTGGCCCACCCCCCAGGATCCCGGAGCGGGAGCCCCCCGTCCCCCTCCGCTGCCCCCCAGAAGGAAAAAGGATGCCTAGGAGCAGAGAGGATAGAGGCCGGGCCTAGCCCCCGAACGCGCTAGCCCGGAGCCCGACGCTCGGAGGAGAGGAGGGCCGCAGGATTCCGCCAGCCCCCAGCGACTCGGCCCCACCCCGGCCCTGCTCCCCCCGCCAGGGTCGCGCCTCCACGACGGCCGCCGCCATTTCCGCAGCCGGTCCAGGCCCTCCCGCGCGCTGAAGCAGCGCCCCCCAGCTTGGAGGGGAGAGCACTTAAAGAGAAGCCCGGGGGGCTGGCGCGTGCAGAGAAAGGGCTCTCTTCCGCCGTCCACGCGCCAGGCTCTTCGGCGGGGAAACAAAGAACCAGGGGGGGCAGGGCTGGGATAGGGAAGGGAAGCGCGAGACAGACCCAAGTATACCTGCGGGGGCAGGCGGACAAGCGCACGATGCAGATCGGCAGCAACGAGTGAGGGACACACGTATGGGGCGCACACGGCAAAGAGTCCCAGGCCCCGCCCCCTCCACTGCACCACATGTGCGGATGGCACCTCCACCCCCTACCAACCGCCCCCTCTGGGCCCCGCAATCCGCATGAGCCATACCGGGCTCCGCCCCTCCCTACACTCACGGGCCAGGCTAGGGAGGAGCTAGAACCACAGGAAATGTTTTAGGCTCGTTCCTGGGACCTCCACATTTCCAGAACTTTCTGGAACGCGCCACTGTAGCCACGGGTCAAGGGTAAAGTTGCGTCATTTCCTGGGGGGTATGGAGGGATTTATTTTACCGGAGTCCGGCAGTGTAGAAAACCCCAGAAAGAGCTTCTCCTATTTCCCCTTCCCGTGGGCGGATCTGAGTAGCGGCCTAAAGGACGAATAGCACTTCGCGTAGCGGCCTCTGCTTCCGACGCATCCAGGGCTTGGGCAAAATAGGAGGCGGGGGCGCGCCTGCGCGGCAGCCAGTCTCCGTCTTAGGACGTTCACGTGTTTCACGGACAGGCTTGCGAGTCTACCGGCGCCCGGGGAGGTTCGGAGGGAGCGGATTGAGCTAGAGCGACAGCTGCGGGGCACTGCGGGAGCCATGGTGAGTCCGGCCCTCGCGGCCTCCTTGCAATGCGCCAGCTACGGCCGTCGCCGAAGCCTTCCGTCCTCCCCTTTCGCGGGGCAGGACCCTCAGGGCAGGTCGGCGGCCTGGCCGGCCGACCGACCGTTGACAGTTATTTGAACCACAAGTGGCCACGTCCTTTTACCGATGCAGTCACGATCATCTTAATAACGATTCGGGATGTCCTGGGAAGTGTTAGTGCATTTTAAGCCACGGATGCTGTAAACTGCGCCAAGACATTCGGGAGGGTGTATAACAGTAGTTAGCACGTATGTAGCGCTCCAAGCTTTGCAAAGCGCTGTACTTAGGTACTCTCATTTGAGCCTCAACAACTCTGGGAGATAGATAACTCTTGTTTTACCGGCGAGGAAACTGACGCAGGGAGGAAAGTAAAGTGATTTAAGAAATAGCTTGATTTGGGGAGCCCCTAGCTTGTGGAGCACGTGGAGCCCTTCCCCCCTTTTCATTCCCTCCTTGCTGAGAGGGCTGGGGAGGAATGGGGGCAACTTTCTTCGCTCTGCGAGTCTGGTGCCCCGGGCACCGGACACGTGCCCGGGCGGCTGGAGGCGGGCCCTACTGGGTCCGGCCCGAGTCTGCAGCCCTGGCGGCTCTGGTCCGGTGGGGGGTGGGGCGGGATGGGGTGCAGGTTGTACCCCTAGAGCGCCCCCACTCTTCCCCTATCAGGTTGGAGAGAAATGAAAGGCTTTGACCTTGCGTAAACCTAGAGGTCGAACTGGTAGCCATTCTGACCTGTGATGGGGGGGGAGAACAGCGTGCCCTCGGTCAAATGAATCGAACTTGAGGGGTGATTAGAGAACCACCCCCCCGGGTAAACGGGTGCTTTGGAGTGGGGAAATTTGGGCTGAAATATTGCCTCCTCTTGATTACTTTCAAAGAGAAATGACTAGGGGTTTTTGTTGTTATTTTTTAAAGAAAAAAATCTCAAATTTCTCTCTCAACAGGCAGGGCAGGCTTTTAGAAAGTTTCTTCCCCTCCTTGACCGAGTTTTGGTTGAAAGGAGTGCAGCTGAGACTGTTACCAAAGGAGGTATTATGCTTCCAGAAAAATCTCAAGGAAAAGTATTACAGGCAACCGTGGTAGCTGTTGGATCAGGATCTAAAGGAAAGGTAAATCCAGACTTACTAGTTTAACTACCATGAGAGAAGTAGCCTAACAATTTAATTTATAATGACCAAATATATGGTGAATAGACAGCTAGTTCAGGTATTATTACTTAGCCTATTGTATTCCAATCTTCCTCAGGTCCTCCAAATAAAATACCATAAAAGTCTTAACCAACTGCGTACAGTTTCTTTTAATGAAGAGTATCTGTATGTAGATTGTCACTCATAGGAAATAGCCCAGAAGGTTGTGGTTATAGTGTTTTTCTCATTTCTGATCTTGATAAAAATTAGGCATCTAGTTCTTTTTCACTTGATCCTGTGAATAGACTCCCTTAGTTCCTTGCTTCTTCAAGACTCAGCTCAAATATCCCCATCTGGAAGAGGCCTTTCTCAGTCTCTTCACCCATACCCTCAAGATTCACCTTCTGCTAACAGTTCTTGGTACAATTTTTGTATGTTCTCTTCCCCATTAAACACTGGGCTCCTTGAGGTCAGGGGACTGGAGGTTTGCCTCCATATTCTCATTGCTCAGCACATAATATACTTTTAATAAATGCTTGTTGACTGACATTTTATTGGAGAACCACAACTCTTCCAGTAAAGTTGTCATTACTTAATTTTGTACTACACCTGAATTTCAAAGGTAGCATATTTTTACATATCATAAACTAGTAAAAATACCATAAATAATATAAGGGAGTGATGGGATGGACAAGATAACTATTATCCCCTACTTATAGATAAACAAACTGAATTGAGGTTCTTAGATGTTGTGGTTTGTACTTGGATTATAGCTAGTGAGACTGTACAAGTGTCCTGAGGAAGAACTCCACTATGCCATGTGACCTGCATTTTAATTATGCTTTTTGTGTTTATTATTCCAAGCTGTCTTTAGAGGGAAATTCTAGTTTTCTATTTTTTGGTTAGGAAGAGTTAATTTTCTTAAGTTTATACTCAAAAGAGTATACTAAAGTCCAAATGGTCTAAGTATTGAAACATCATTGAATCTCAAATTTTAGGGCTATATGGAAACTTATAGGAAGGGAACACACATTTATTAAGTACTTACTATGTTTCTGGCACTGTGTTAAGTACCTTACAAATATTATCTCATTTGATCCTCACAATAACCCTGGAAGGTAAGGCCTATTATTAAACACATTTTATATTTGAAGAAAGGCAGAAAGAGGTTAAGTGACCTATCCAGGGAATACAAGTATCTGAGGTTGGATTTGAACTTAGGTCTTCCTGACTCCAAGAACTAGACTGCTGTCTAATTAAATTAATCTTGTAATTGAACCCTTTTATTTTATACAAGGGAAAACAGATTCAGAGAAGTTTATTTGCCCAAGATCCCAGATAGAACCTGATTACAAAAGGAAAGTGCTGGCAAGCTTTTCAGAAGGCCAGAGGGTAGTGTTTCACAACCTTATTGTTCCCTACTGAAATCTGTTTATCTTGCTTTCTGTTTGATTAGAAGATTGCACCCTTAATTTCCTTCTCCTTTGTTCTCTTAACCTTATTTCAGGCTATTATGTCAAAATAAGAAAAGTGGTGAATTCAGCCCATTGCTTAACTTTAATTGGTACTCTATTTTACATAAAATAAGTTCCTTAAATTTGAATAAGAATACAGATTAAAATTGTCACCAGAATTTTTGACTGTTCTTAAGCTCTTGAGTTGTCTTATAAAAAGAAAGGACTTGTGGTCAGGGTACTTCAGAGAAGCCTCTGAGTAGGTTTGTTTAATTTAATGTTTAACTTGTGGTATAAAGTTCATTGAGAGCTTCTGAAATTTAAATGTTTTTGTGTGACTAAAGTGCATAGTTCTCATGTTAAAGATAAATCCTTTGGCTTTTAGGTTTAAGAACTAGTTTTGAAATCACAGATCTTGTAAAATTAAAATATGCTAGCCACAAAAGTATCTTTATATTGATTTAATAACTTTAATGCAAAAGTTGGGCAAATAAGATGTATTTACTAACTTTTTTCTTTTTTCCATTTTATAGAGTGGAGAAATTCAACCAGTTAGTGTGAAAGTTGGAGATAAAGTTCTTCTTCCAGAATATGGTGGAACCAAAGTTGTTATAGAAGACAAGGTTTGTTTAATATAACTTATTTAAATGAGTTAAGTAGTTCTTGCTAGCAGAATTAACTAACATACCTTTTTTTATTTGCAGGACTATTTCTTATTTAGAGATAGTGACATTCTGGGGAAATACGTGGACTGAAATCACTAATGAAGTGGCGTCATGAAAATTGCCCATTCCACTGAAGTTCTGAAATCTTTTGTTTCATCATGTAAATAATTTCCAGGTCTCTTGTTTTATAATAAATAGATATCTTGTGTCTCTAAAATCCAATTTCTTTGCATCAATATGAACATTTCCAAATAAAAAATGTAAAATGGATAGTTAACTATATTTCATGTGTTAATTCTCTGACATGTTATTTTAATCTCATACTTCTGTAGAGTAAGAGTTGAAAGACTTAAAAATTAGGGCTTTGCCTTTAGCTTTGTTATAATTGTATCTGATTAAAAACAAGAATAAACAGTAACATTCGTCTTAGCTGGATTATGTAAACCAAGTCTTAAATAGCAACATTTTAACTTTCTAAAAATAGCAAGTTTACATTGTTGAAATAACTACTACTTTAGTAGATCTTTACTGCTAACTTATTTTTACTGAGCAAAGCAGTTTTCATCTCAAAAGGTTTTAGTTAGGAAAAGTTTACTTTTCCTAGGTAGATTTACTTTCAGAAAATTATCTGCTAAGATTTGATAATTTAAATTTTTGGTGGACTGAGTGCAATTATTTGAAGCTCTTATGAGTAATTTAGTTCCAACATACTGAAACTATCATTAGATTGTTTAAATAAATAAAGTGGGGAAGGCGGGGAGGCAGCTAAGTGGTATAGTGGATAGAACACTAGAATTGGACAACTGAGTTCAAAGCCTTGCTCAGACACTAGCTGTGTGACCTAGGTTAGGTAGTTTAATTTCTGCCTCATCTAAGATGAGGATGACAAAGGTACTTCACAAGGCTGTAAGGAATGTTTAAGAAATCATGTGAAGTTCTTTGCAACCCGTCAAGCACCATGTAAATGTTAACTGCTATTATTCTGTGGTCTTAACTACCAAGGATAGTGGTGTAACCAACAGGAAAATTATTTCTTGGTAAGATTGTATTTTAGTGGGGCTAAGATGAGCCACATTGAGCACTGTTTTGGTGGTGTCAGTGTGCACTGCTGCTATGCTTTTAACATGACAGTTGGATTAGCATACTAGATGTTCTGTCCTATT